ATATTTTTTATAATTTTACGTGATTTTTGATAAAAATTTAAAACTTCATAAACTTAAAATTGAAATATCTCAAGCAGTATTGAAGATAGCGATTAAGCGCTAATGAGCTTTTTTGTAGGAAATAAAATTTCCTACAAGTTTCTCATTTACATTTTTTCTATAGCTCTTGTCATTTACGAGATAAATGCGAAAAAACGTAAATTTCATGAAAAAATCAGGTTTAGTGGCCCGTACTACCCGTAAAAATTTGTACTCATGACAGCGTAAACAAGCAGTTATAATAGATTTTAAAGGATACATATTTTTTTAAGTAATTATATAGGTGTATGCAAAAGGCAGGGGTATGTATTTATGAATATTTTTGTAATATCTTTTTTTTGTTTAAATCTATTTTTATATATACACTTGTACATGTATGTATTAAAAAATAGCTCAAATAGCTTTTTTAGTTAGACACAATTTTAGCCAGAGTTACGATAAAAAATACTCCTAAAAACTCAAATTAGTGATCTGTAGTGTATGAGTTCCTCCATCGTTTGATGTACATATGTACATATAGATGTTTTTTTTTTAAAAGCATTTGCTAAAAGTTTTGATTTAGTAAAATTTTCTATACTCTCTTCTCTTCTACTGTTTTTATGTAAAATAATGGCACTTTTCGGTTTCACTGCTTTCTATTTCACTTTCACATGCTAATCTACCTACATACATACATATGTACATATATTTGTATATAGTAGTATATACGCCACAAGTATTCCATCAATTCCTCGACTTTCTGAATTAATACTTATTTTCACTTAATGCTAAACCACATACATACATATTTCGTCACCTAGCTCAATTTAGCATTATATTTAGCATTACAACAACAAGTGCAAGTTAATTATGCGACTGCTAGGGATTTGTTGACATTTCACATGGGAAATTTCTATTATAACTGCTGTTTAGGTTTCCAAATTCTCCGGCGGACAATACAAGATCCTTACACAACAACGAGTACATTATCCGACTGTGTATGTAAATAAATACGTTTTTATATACGACGCATACATATGTACATATATGTAATTTTATACTAAATCAACAACTACAGGTTTGAACAAATACGCGTCAACGTGGAGTTTTTGGCTTTTCACTCCTTTTCGCTCAGAATACATTCTTGTTTTTTTTTTTTGCAAAAGTAATATGACATACAAATGTGCGTGTGTGTGTAGCGCAATCAAAGGCAGTTTGGGAGAAAAATGAAATAATTTCATGGAAATAGGTTCGAAGCAGTATTTTTTTTCGATTCGGTTTGAAGGGCCTGAAATATCTAGCAAAAAAATATCTAAATTTTTTTCAGCATCTCATACATGGGCTACCGATGTCATATTCATCTAATAGACGAACTTTTAATATTCATCTAATGGACGTTTTTTAAATATTTTATAATAAAATAAATACTTTTAAACAAATAAATAGGTAATATTCATCTAAAAGATGAATTTACAATATTCATCTAATAGAAATCAAATGAATATTTAAAATTCAACTTTTTGATGAAAATTCATCTTTTCGATGAAAATGCATATTTTTGATGAAAATGCATCTTTTTGATGAAAATTCCACTTTTTGATGAATACAGAAATTTTATTAATTCAAAAGTACTGTTTTTTTTTATTTGAAAATTAGTCTATTTAACGCCTACACCAGTCCATATTTTCAATTTGTAGACTTTTTTATTAAAAAAATAATAATTTTCTCCAATCTATGTTAAATTAAATATTGCCTGCATGATGAAGAAGTGTCATCTCACCTGCAGTATTCAAAGCATGGCACAAAATGTGAAAATAAACATTTTTGTGATAAAATCTAATATCTAGAGAGCGATGCAGCAAGCGAAATAAATTTAATAGTTTTTTAAAGATTCTGAGATGGAGAATTCAGGAAAAATAGTCTCGTTGGATAAAAAAAAATCCCTTAACCCTTCATATGGCCTTCAAAAATAGGAAGTTTTAAATGTGTTCCTTTTTTGACCTGAAAACAGTAGGCATTGCATTTGTTAAAAAGTTTTGCCATACTTGCATCAAGGAATCCGTTTCCATGGTCACAAGAACCGAAAAACACATTTTAAATTTATTTTAAAAAGTTCATTACATTAAATTACTTTTAGTTTTGAAGGTCTCATTGAATAAAAATTAACTTGACCTTGAAAACAACCTTAACAATATTTTTTTAAGTTAAAAGCAACAATTAGTTGCCTTCTAAAAAAATTAAAATGTGTTTTTCGGTTCTACCGACCATGGAAATGGATTCCTTGTCGCAAGATAGCAAAACTCTATGTTTTAAATTTTTTTTAACCGACTTCCAAAAAAGGAGGAGGTTATCAGTTCGTCGGAATATTTTTTTTTTTATGTATGTTACCGCATAACTTTGGACCACGTCAACCGATTTCGATAATTATTTTGCATCGGAAAGGTAGTGTCTCAGAGATGGTCCCATACTAATCTGGTTCAGATCCGATCAGCGGATCATGAGATATATATATATATTTTTTTTTTATATGAGAGTTGAAGTCGGTTTTTTTTTGCTAAAAATTACTTGTTTTAATTTCATTGCACAGTTTTCAGATCAAAAACGGAAGAAAAAATTTAAAACAATCTATTTTTGAGAGTCATTTTAAAGGTCAGGGTATTTTTTGTATCAAACGAGATTATCGCCTACTTCCTGTAAAAATATTACGACAAATACTTGCTATCAAAATAAAATTCAAACATTAAGATTGCAAATTTCCAACTATTTGATTTAAAATCTTCGATTAGACGAAAAATTAAAAAAATACATTACAACGTTACAGGCACACAATTTTTCGTTGATTTAACGCATAATTTAACCATTTTTTCCTATTTTCCTGTTCACAAGAATTGTGAATATTTGAAGAAACTCAACACGTGGTCATTTGTTTGAGTTACTATACATAGTAAACATGGTAAAATTGGTTTTCTACGCCTAATCTTGCCAAAACGAGGATAATTTATTTTGGAAATTTGAAAAAATCGTCGATTCGGTGAAAAGTGCTACTAAGGTTAAGGCTTTAAAAATTTTGAAAATATGTTTTTTTAGAACTAGTAAAAATTCGTCAACCCGATAGAAAATGTTTTAGAGCTTAAAATTAAAAAAAAAAAAAAAATGTGCCACCAAGGCTTAAGATTTTCAACTTTTCAAAGGGTTCGCTCACATAAAAATTGTAAAATTTGTTTTCGAGAATATTTAAAAATTCATCGATAAATGAAACACGTTTTTAAAGCTCAAAATCGTGAATAATTTCTACGCTTCAGCCTACTGTAATAAGAATAATTTATTTAGGAAAATTAGATTAGACTTTAAAATGTTTAGGACGTTAAAATGTTTTAAAAGTAGGTTTAACTCTGTCTACATACAACTAGGAAATTTTTGTGACGGAATTTTTAAAATTTCGTCAATTCGAAGAAAAACATTTTTAACGATTAAAATTGTGAAAAATTGTCAGGCCTAAGCTTGCCGAAATGAGAAATTTGAAAAATTTAAAAATTCGTCTATTCGATGAAAAACGCCACTAAAGATTAGAACTTCAAGTTTAAATATGTACAAAAATGCATTTTTCTAGAATATTAAAATTTCGCCGTTCCAATGAAACTTGTTTTTTAACGCCCAAAAAGGTGAAAACTTGTAAACACAAACTTAACGAAAACAACATGATTAATTTTGAGAGAATTTCCAAATTATTATACTGCTTTAAGAGTTGTATATGACTATGCAACATTCTAGATCGTATATTAAACTCTTTCCACAAGTTTCCAAAACATAGTACATACATACACGTATTAATTTAAAATTACTATGGTGCTTATAATGTAGATATTAAGTATGCTGGATTTTACACTAGTTTTCATACACTACTTAGTACATGTGGTATACATACATATATATGTACTACTTCAAAAGTAAGTATATACACCCTGTCTATTTTTTTTTTTTTATATGTAACTTCTTCTGTATTTGGTCTGCTGCTTTAGGTAAGCTATGTAGTAGTGTTGTAGTATTGTGGATTAAAAAACAAAAAAAAAAAAAACAATTATCCTCAGCTATGCGAGTAGTACCCACATTTACAATACACTTTGTTTTACATACTAGAGTTTCAAGTAAACAACTGTTTTTTTGAATTGAATGCCTAAAAAAATTTATCTAAGCTCACAATTCCAAAGCTCAATTCGCGCACCAGTAGCGCTAACATCAGACACAGTGCGCTTGCGCTCACCATCGCTTGTCCGTTGTGGTCCACTTTAGGCTCTTCGCCGATTTCCAAAAATATCTTCATGCGTACATCCTGTGGCATAATGGCGCAATGGTACTCGCCTTTAGTTTTGTCCGATACTTTATCAATAATCAAATTCATGTCATTGTCCAGGTGATAGCCCAGAGCGGCATCGACGATAATCTCCCGGCCAGTGGTGATGGTATTATTGCTCTTGAACCACATTATCAAATGTTGAGATTCTTTGAGCAAGCGAAGTGTATGTGTGTATGTACATGTAGGCGGCGACGTAGTGTGAAAAAGTTGAGAAGAAAAAAAGTGACAAAGTCAAATATCGATTCTAATGAATGTTAAATACTAAATGCAAATTTGTATGAATACTCGTATCAGTGCGAATGGAATGGAAATGGTGTCGCGATTAGTAAAGGGTGTAGGCGAAGGCGGGCAAGTGGGGCGTGGGGTGTGCGTTGAAAGGAAATGAAATCGTACTTCGCATTCATATGAATGTATGGATGCACATATGTATGTATGTACATAGATCAATCCAAGGAAAGGGTGTGTACAAAAAAGTAGGTGTGAATTTCTATAAGCAGCGAACAGAAGGTGATAGATACTCGTAGAAGCACACATGCGTTTACTGCGAAATTATAATTTACATATTTTCTTATATTCTATCAGGTAGATATATTTACTACAAATAATTAAGCCCAATGAACGTGTATATATGTAAGTACATATGTATGCGTGAATATCGAAGTGAATGTGAATATGTATACATATAAATATATAAATATATGGATATATGTTTAGTTATGTGTTAATGAAGCTACGCTTTAAAAATGAATCATGCCATCATTCCAAAATATGTATGTACAGTGACTCAAACAACTTTCACATGTTGATTTTTTTAAACTAACGGCTCTATTCTATATCAGTGACAAATTCTTTTCAAAGTTTTATTACGGAAAAATATATGAAAAAGTTTAAATTTGTCAGGAAAAAAAATTTTTGTCGCCGATACAGAATTGGGCTATAAAGCAATGTTTTTCAAGTTAAAATTGTTTTACCGTTTTTGTATAAATATATGTACTAGCTTTTGCCCGCAGCTCTGCCCGCGTTAAGTTTGGTTTAACGTTGTGATTTAAAATAAAACGAAAAAAGCCAACAAATATACTCACACACTCACTAAAAAACTCTCACACTTATCACAGGATTTTATTTAATTTTTCAATTAAATTTCCAAACTGGTGGCAACCTTCGTAAAGTTTATCTCGTTTTAATACCCATTTTAAAATGTTTCGTTTAACCTCTGAATTGATTTTATTTTTTTGAACAGATGGCAACCCAACAGATGATAACCCTACTGACAGTTGATGAGAAGATAGCCATACGACTGTGCGACGTATCATGGTTTCCTAGCCTTAATTTTATGGTAATTAAAATTTTATGAAAATTTTTTCCAAAGAAATTGAAACTTCAAATATTTATTTATTACTTAAATGCATTTATTTAGAAACTAGCAAATACCCGGTGTGCTTAACTGCGCCTTAAAAGTATTTTTCTGTTGTTTGATACCCGTATTGTAATATTTCATATATTTTATCCATTTAATTAAATAAAATTTTTCAAACAGGTGGCAACCCTCCTCAAAAATATTTTCGGCAGTAAACTTTCCCAAGCCTCTTCAGTTTGATACCCATATTGCAATATTTAATTTATCTTATCAATTACAATTCAAACATGTGGCAACAAAAATATTTTCGGTTATAAGCCCTTTTAAACCTCTTTCTTTTGGCAGCCAAATTGCAATATTTACTTTATCGTATCAATTTAAGTTGAAATTTTCAAATAAGCGGCAACTCTATATTTTAAGTTAGACCTCTAGCAATACATTGGTGAAAACTGCATTCAATTTAATGCATTCGTTTTTGACTGATGGGCGTACAAACAAACATACAGACAGACAGCTATAAATTCTAAAAATGATTGATTTGGCTTCTAATGCTCTAATAAAGATACCTTATATTAATTTTTGTATAGATATTCTTCATTTATAATGGAAACACCCCCAGATTTCAGTCTCCATTTAGCGAAAGAGAGATGGAGTGTGAAAAGCCAACGTCTCGGAGACGTATGTAGGTTATCGAAGCAGGGTTAAAGAATATTTTCGAAATAAATCTTTTTCAAACAATTTTTTTGACACCCGCATTGTTGTGATACTTTATTTAACTTATTAATTAATCGATTTTAATTTTTGAACGGGTGGCAAACCCCTAAAAAATATTTTCGAAATAAATAGTTTATAAACCCTTTCCGTTTGTTATCTACACTGCTGAAATATATTATTTAACTAATTAATTCATTGATATTCACTTTTTAAAAAGGTGGCAACACTCTTCAATGCAGGTTATAAACTATTTGCGTGCTAAATTTTATTAAAATACGTCCAACCACTCACAAACTTTCACATGTATAAAGTAGCAGCTTTATAAAAAAGATAACAAAAAAATTTTAACTTGAAAATCATAGCAAATATTAAAAAAAAATCAACATGTGAATACTTTTTTTAGTCACTGTATATTCACTTAGCAAACACACAGATACACATGGCAACCCATATGTAAGTGTGTATGCGTCTGCGTGAATTTGCATGCTTAATTTTTTATCTCTTTCTTCCATCGTACATATATTTCTCATTAATAACTTACCATTATAATTCTTGGCAGGACAATGCAAAACCACTTTAGTGTCCTCTTTGGCATACACAGTTTTCTTCTCCTCCTCAAAATATGGCATTAGTGTGGGCGCAGGCTTGCCTGGCACCTTCATATTTTCAGGACTCGATTCATCGTAGTAGTCTATGTCAACGCTGTCTGGGTTTTGTGATTTTTCACTTGACTTCTGGGCGACATCTGCCAGAACTGCGAAAGAAAACAAAGTGTACCAATGTAAAATATGTAGTTAAGTAGCTGCGTATTTATTTATTTAAGTCTATGAAAATAAGAAAAAAACTTTTAGAAATCGATAAACGGCGAAATTCCAGCTGAGATTACAAAAAAGGACTTGACCTCTAAACGACCTCCATAAGTCATTTTGACTAGACGATCAAACCGTATGTGGACGTGAAATTTACTGATCTTTCAGCATTGGTGGTAAAAAAATATATATATCATTCGAAGTAAGGCGTTTGAACCTTGATCTAGACGTAATGAGGTCATATGGATATCGAAATCGTATTCTCAAAAACTTAAAGATCAATTAAACTCAGAGATTCTCTACCTCGATTTTCCCTTATGGCCAAGTGATATCTTTAATTGTAGTATGAAGTTGAAAGCTACTGCACTAGAGCCAACCCGTAGGCATCCCATACACCCAACCCCTATAATGTGAGTAGTAACTCGGCAAAGTTCTCTTTACTGCGGTGAAGGTATAATTGCAGAACTTTCCATTTAATTCGGGATAGTATCCTTCTCGGGTACAGCACTGCTCCTTGCATTACCTTCAATATTCTTGAACTACCCACCTCCAACTGCAGAGTAAGCATAGCCTCGGCTACTCGGTACTGGACCTGATGGCATTGTCTAACTTTCCAACCTCCAGAGTGTTTATATTACCTTTGGGGGTGACAACAACACCTTAACCTGAATCACCCCAGAAACAGATTCTGATCGTTAGCGTTTAGTTTCGCTGAGTGCAACAACTTCGGCTATATCGGCTTAGACGTCGGGATTTCGTTAGGTATGTACGAAAACCTTCGACCCTGGTAATCATGAACTATGCTCCATCGATCCTGGTACAGTACCACATGTTTCACAGCTTGAAATTACTACCATTAGCCATTTTAGCGTGAAGTCAACGTAGACTCCCCTAAACCTCCTCGCTCCACGCAAAGTAGGTTATGGGCTTGCCAGGCTCATCTCTCACCGGTGAAACGTTGTGCTGTACTTTTTTACCATCCACTTGTTTCCACTGTATTCGTCGTTTTGACACCTTAGTAATCTTAAAATTTTTTTTGCAGCGTTCTGTCTGTTCAATTGGATTAGGCTGTGCCCAAAGGCGCTAAGCCAAAGGGTTTCTTTCTTTTGAATTCGCTTTTTTGGAAATCAGTGATAATTCCAACATGCATCCTCAGTTGAGGGCGTTCCAGGAGAATGAGGGCACTGGGCGCATCATTTCGATGTGCATATTTTTCGCCATAAATGAAATAATCACATCTTATTTGGGAAAATTCTCGTGTTTTTGTTCTTGGTTAATGATACATTCTCCAAGGTAGAGAATGTTTTTCCCAGCATAGACGTCGCGATTCCAGCATGTACGACATTTTTGACAAAACTGGTACCTGTGGGGCGATTTGGACGTCAGGTTTACGTTGTAACATTTTGCGCAAAGTTTGGTTGTTCTGAATTCATTAACCATTAGAATTCCTGCATGCCGTTGTTTTAGTGCTGCGATTAGTAACCGATTTGGTGTACGCCTATATCCGCGCATTGGTGAGTTTGAAGCAATCTCTGTTGATCCGATGCTGATTAACGTTTTCTCTTCTTTGTTTGGTACCAGTTGTTGCACAATTTGGTTTCAGGCTTTTTGTCGGCAAATGTATTTCTTCAGCTTCAGCGGAGCCACCTTTCTTTGCGAGAAAATTTTTTGTTTTTGCTCCGGTATTTCAAGTTGAAATTTACAGTATTCACGGAAGTTCGATGAATTCGCAGACAATTCTGATTGTATCGTGAAATCTTTCGTATATTTATGTAGTGTTATTTTGCGAGAATAGAAACCAGAAAGGTGTTGATAGTACGAATTTTTGATTTTCACAGGAACATTGTTCTGGATGCCAGCAAAAATGAGTCGACACCCAGGATCTAGCCCAATCTTGTTGTCGTATTTTGTTCCGCGTATTTTTATTAGATTACCTTCACAATCGGTTTCATTTTGTTTAGTGCACGTTGAAGGAATTTTAAAATATTTTCCAAATTCACTTTTATCGAAGGAAGGAAACGGTCCTTTGAATAATTTTAATCGACACAATAGCTAGTACAAAGCAAATCGATCGAATCTGACGTGATGTAAACCGTGTTTTAGTTGTGGTATTAGTGAAAAATTTTTTCTTCTTTGATTTCATTATACCGTTGTAGGTTATAAAATAATTCGATGGAAGACCAAAATAGTTTGACATTTTCTATTTTGTGTAGTTTGTTTCCGTTCCATTTTAAATCGGTAATTAAACGGCGGATGGTGCGGCTCCGCACAAATCATGTCCCATCGAGTGGACATGAGCGCCTCGATTAGGCAAATCAAAAACAGATTACCGGAATTTAAGCTTGAAATCTAAGAAGAGGTTGGTTGAGCTGTACAGCATCCTATAAGATTACCAGATAGATGTGTAATACATATCTACTAGGGCGATGTTAGTGTGAGAAAGGAAAATACGGCCCTTGGGTGTGCGTGCTGAAAGAAGCGGCATATCTCTCAACACGTTCTGGCGCAGGTGCCAGGCCTCAGGCTCAAAGCAGACAGTTGGAACATTTTTTCTGCCACTCTCCGGTCCAACCATTCCTACAGAGTATTCTGAGTATTTCAGCGGGCGGTAGCCTCTCTCTGTATGATTTGTCAAATGCGTCCGCCAGTGTCAGTGTACCAACATTTAGTGAAGGGAGCTAGAATTCGGTAACCGAACAGGTAAAGAACACACAGGATTGGGTGTTGTTACTCAACTGTCCTTCGCTCTACAAAACATAGAGTATTTTGTATAAGTTTTTTTTAGAAGTTGAGCGGTGTTTACACACTGCTGTTGCGGTAAGCTCCTCAGCATGGGCTTTCGTTTCACAACGTTAGCCCCGTAAGCTTTGGAGCAGACTGTTTATGGTCAAGTTGTATAGGTGTGTGGAGAGAACTCCATTCTTTGGGATAGACATTTCACCCATCCCACCGCACATTCTACTAGATAGAAGTTGAATAAATTCTGCCAAAGGCAATGAAAATCTTGCTTGGAGATGGAGGAATCCAGAAAAAGAGCTATAGAGAACGGTATAAACCCCAGAATGCTAACCTTAAAAACACAATTGGTTAATTCTGTCATAGATTCTTCCACATTATGCCGCTCTCGCATATCGTCTTCAGCTACGATACTTGCAAGGAAAGCCATGTGAGTAAATTTTGGCTCATGGCTTGTATTAAAGGGTTAAAGATTAGGATAATCTGTTGGTAACATTACTCTACTCACAATATATCGATTTCAACGCATTTGTACTTGGCACATTTAACTTTCTTTTTTTTTTTTGCTGGTGGGAAAATGGAACGCCAATAATTTTATTCATAATAAAATACTAGCAGCCAAAGCCGCGCAAGATAATACTCAAATGGAAGGTCAATTAAAATTTCCAGCCAATAATGGGACAATGAGTAATTTAATGAATTTAAGTACGTGTGAGCATTCAAATACAATACATACATATAAATGAATGCCCATATTTAGATATGCATGCAAGTACATACATGCATAGACATGTACATACATGCATACATATGTAAATGCCAAAAGGGTTAAAATGTATAGAAATTGTTAAAACAACCAAAAAGTCATGGGCAAAACAACTGTTAATTTCAACAAAAAACAAAAATTTTTGCTGTACACAAACTCTAAATTCCTCAATTAAAAGCAAAAAATAAAAAATTAAATAAAAAATCCTGTTGTTGAGCATGCGTAAATACATGGCTAAAGAGGGCATACTATGCATGTATGAGTATATCGCAATGAATGTAAGTAGTGCCCATATTTGTAAGTACACTTATGCACATGATGAGTACAGCACTTTTTGATCGAAGAGAAATTAAAAAAAATATATATATACATATATACAAATTTACAAACACACAAATAAAAGCAATTAAACATTGAAATGGCTTAGTGGTGGATTATGGCATATTGAATGAATAAGAGTTCCAGTAGCGAACCCGCTCATTGGCATGCTACTGCGGCATGCGGCACAGCAAAACTTGGGAGTGCACATGCAGATATAAACATACATAGTACATAAGTACATACTCGTATAAACAGATGTACGATATGCAAGAATTTATGTTGTGCACACATGCATGCTTTTGAATATGAATACGAAAAAGTTTTATAGATACAGTGGTGGACAGGTGAGTAGAGCTGCCATCTATCTCGTTTTTTTTTGAGGATAGAAAAAGCACAATGCATTTTACAAAAAAGTTATTTAGAGAAAGCAATTTGGTATGTGAAAAATTGTTTTTGTACCACACTTCATTAAAAAGGTTACACAACGCTGACGGTCGAAAAAATAGGTACAAAAAAAAACAAATTTTCTCCTAACGCAGATGTGAAGGTTATAAAAACAATTTTATTTCACATTCGTAAAGTGCATATTTGAGAGTATATTCAAAGAAAAAAATTAAAAAAGTTATAAAAGGCGGAAATATAAGTCATTCATTAGCACCTTCTTTTCAGATAGTGTGCTTACAAAAAAAAAATGTTTTTTTTTTTTTTTTTAAGAGGTACTAGCAGCGTACTATATAGGGAAACTTTCTTAATCCCTTTTTTTTTGCAAAAATGACAGCGATATAAAGTAGATCTTCAGAATTAGTGTACACCAGTTAGAAAAAAATCGTTTCGAGAAAACAGCGAAACCCAAAATTTAGGGGCTTTTGGCATTTTTCTATCACTTCCACTTCAAATTGATGTCACTTTTTAAGTAGGTACTTTGACAACGCCTAAACGAATTAGAGAATATGGAGGTATACAAACAAAAGACTTTCGGCTGAAAAATAATGAACGAGCAAATAATCACCGCATCTGATATATTGTTCGAAACACTTAGGCTACCTTGCGCTAAACAGGACAAAAACCTGGTACTACCATAAACAAGGGAACTCAGATCAAAACTAAAGAAATCAAGAGCAA